AGGTGTCCACAGCTGTCTGGGCATCTCCGCCTTTGTCAGCGACATTTCTGCGATTCCGGAGAACGAGAGGGAATGTCAGAGGTGAAAGCAGCTCATAGTTTGTTCTACAGTGACACGGACGCTCATCTGCTGGATGTGAAAGGCCTTCAGCGTGTGCAACAATCTGCTGACAGATGTCAGCTGTGCCTCTCTGTGTCTGTTATCACTGCTGTGGCTGTCCACATGAGCCAAACCCCCAAAACTCCAACAGCCACCAACAGGATGGCTGCCTGTGATTGGTGTTCCATGGGTGACACAGACTTTTGAATCACTTTATTCAGGAAAATCACAACCGTGGGATAAATAAAGTCCATCCTTCATCATTGTCCTCACCTGTGTATCCGTTTCATGGCACAGGTTGGAGCCAATCCCAGCCCGTCCGTGACAGGATGGACAGATGAAGTGTGTAGGAAAAGAACGTTTTCCACAATCTTAAAATAAGCATTTTTTAGTATAAAAAGCTGAAATAGTTACAAATGTATCCAAATATTAAAGTTACAAATGAGGATAAAATACATCTGCAGTACTGTAGAAGTGTTCTTACTGGAGGCAGATAATGTCATAACCTACAAATAGCTGTTCTCAGCTTTAATCCATATATTACATGTTTGTTTATAATATCAGTGAGACGCCATCTTTAATGACGTCTCCTGTCAGCAGCTCGGTCCTCGTGTCTTCACACACGTCTCCTGAATGTTTTAGTCTAAATGACGCGATTCGATTACGTTTCGTACACTAACAGAAATGCAGAGAGATTTTTAGAGACAAGCTTTATTTTCACTCTTTAATGTTCAGACTGTAATCTGTATTGGCCACCGTGAGGCTTGTTTAGCCATTATTATAAGCTGCTGTAGATAATTTCATACGTGCAGTCAGAAGGTCAGGCCCTGGATCCACTCCATCAGGTCAGGAATGTGAACGGCTGCAGGAGCTCCAACCTCCTGCTTACACTATCGTAGGGAGATTGTTTTTAATCTTAAACGACTAAAAAACTTTAATTTGTTCACAGAAAATGATAAAAATGATGTCAGCACGCAGGACCAAATCCTGCAGTTCCTCTGATGTCCACCAGAGACTTCAAAAGGACAAACATGTTTATGATGTTTGGTCTCCAAAGTTAATTTCACCTTTAAAACTCAACTTAAATTGTATTAAAGCCTAACATTTGCGTTATTAGAGGTGTGGCCTCTGTGACTGACAGGTGGATGGGCACACAGGTAGCTGTAGCTGCTAGCTGTGTGCTAGGCGCCACCTCAGCTAACTGGAGTCCCTGAACTGGACCTGTGGACCGTGTTTGTGCTGTTGGTGCCTTTTTAATGACATCATCATCATCAATGATCATCAAAATATGGCTGCTGTGAGGTTACTGTAGTAACAGACCATTTATGGTTGGCTGGTACTAGCAGGAGCTTGCTAGCTAGGCTGAGTAGCATTAGCTGATAGCATGTGCGCTTAAATCAGTTACCGTCACTGTGTTGGTGATTTGGGAACAGTCTGTGGTAACAACTACAAACACTGACTTTGAGGACCTTAGGGACTAAGTAAAGTGCTATATAAATACAGGCCATTTGCCATTTACTGACTAAGCTACAGAAACCACAGGTAAGTTTATTCATACTTATAAGCCTTATTTGTCTGTTATACAGTTTCTTTTAGTCCTGGTTCCTTGCTGCTCTGACTGAGGCTCCTTCTTTTTCAGGGTCCAGATATTCAGTTGTCATTCTGCTTCAAGGTAAAGTTGGGCAAATCATTACACTAACTATTCACTT